CTGCCCTGGGCTCAGGGAACAGGACACACATCTGGCTTTTTGCTCTAAGTCTCCATGGCAAGAGTGGTACTTGGGATGAGCATCTCTGAGGAACTACTCCATTCATCAAGCCATTAGTCTGTGATTAAAAATAAAGTCCAATTGGCAAGTCTCTGTCCTCTGAAAGATGAATGTGGACTATATTCATGGGAAGCAAGCCCCCACAGAATTCTCCTCCTTGTCCCGAAGCTTGGCATGGGGTTTATATGGACCCAGGATGGCCACGAACATGTGGTCACACGACTTCAGGTACAAGACTGTGAAATCCTAAAATACACTTCAAAGGAAAACCATAACAGAAAATGGGCAGCCCTAACTGTAGGTGGAAAACCTGTGTCACGTGCCTATAAACCCACATCTGTATCAGCACTTTACCGGGAACTTGGATGGCAGCCGAAGCAGAAAGTCAAACTCCTCCATGTAACAGATAAGGCTGTAACTAAGCCAGGCAGGCCTTCTGTGTTGCTCACTTTCCTCCAGGACAGGATGTGGGTGTCACAGCCAAAACTGGTGCCACGGGTTTGTAAGGTGTCATGAAAAGGGGGGAATTGAAAGGCAAGCTGGCTACTCGTGGTCAAATGAAAACCCACAGGAAAGCTGGGGCTATTTCAACTGGTCACGTTGCCAGAGTCTGGGCAGGAACTAAAGTACCTTAACCAAAGGGGACCATAGATAGGAGGACAGCACATTGACTGCAAGTGTAGGGAAGAAACGTAAAGCAGAGTACCAGCTACATCAACGGCTCTGTCCCTGCACATCAGCATTGCTCAGAAAAGGCCAGGCGTTTTAAGTCTCCAATAAGGATTTCTGTGAAAAGCTATACCATCCCTTACATATTTTTGTGACGGAAATGAGCGACAACCAGAAGATCTGGAAGAAACTGTGTGATCAATACAAGGTGGGGGGGTGGGGAAAGGAATGGAAGACAATTGTAGACACCAGAGATAGTGTGAGAAGAGGGTAGGAAAGGACAGAGGGTCAGAAAGAGGGGTAAAAAGAATTCTAGGAAGTAGAAATGGAAAATTTTTGATAATAATATTCATGATTAAGTCACTATGCAGTAGATTCTGGATGGGAAATCACATTTCGTATGCTGTGATGATGCTTAGGGAAAAAAACAAAAAAGGTTTCAGAAAAAAAATAAACGTTTGCTATGAAAATACTTAGATTAATTAAGATCTTTAGTATTTCAATAAAATGTGGGGGGGAAACAGTACAGAAAGCAAACATAGATACCAGAGACAGTGGTGAAGTTGAGTGGGAGGTGGCAGAGGGTAAGAGATAGGGAATCAAGGATGGGGGAAAAAAAGCAAAACATACAGAAAACAAGAAATGGAAAATTATTTGCTGACAATATCATGTTTGTTGATGTGCTTGATTGAAACAATATACAGTGTACTCTGGATGGAAAATCTCATTTTGTATGCTGTAATGATGTACAGTGAGTGAATGTAAATAAATAAATTAAAAATAAAAAGATCTGTAAGGTGAAAATGTGTGTGGCCCTGTGCACCTTCCATGACACGCCCCGGCCGTCACTGCACGCGTGGAACCTTACATGGCCAGTGAAACTTGATGAGCCCGAACAATAATATAACCAGGAATTGGATTCCTTCTTAGTCACAACAACGCCACATTTATCATCTTTGTCAAGGGGCTAGATAAGTCACTCATCCCTCAGTTGAATATTGTTAGAAAAATGACCACGCTAAACAAATCAGTTGCATAGATTGGATTTGCTAAAATGGCAATTTGCATGTTAGCAAAATCTTTGCAATTTGTGAACTTTATACCCTTTTACCACACGTTTTCCAAGTTATTTTAAGATATTTACAAATTTAACTTTTTTTTTAACTGTAGGACTTATAAATTTAACTTTTTTTTATTTTTTTACTGTAGGACTCTTACACTCACCAGGGAGAGAGAAAGAGAGCAAAAGAGAGAGAGGAGGAAAGTGAGAAAGCACCCATTCCTATCTTTTCCATTGTCCTCTCAGGATTTTGGGTACGCATATGCTCCCAGTGTGTTTTCAAGCCACAGAGTCTGGAACTCAAACCATGCAGTCACAAGGATTCAGCCACCTTAACTACACACCACTGGATGGCCCTTAACTTATATCTTTAAAAAATCTCCACTTCTATCACAGTGCTACTTCATGCCCTCGTCTTCCTCTACCAGGACTACGGGAGTATAACATGCACCCAGTCTAACAGCTTGGTCATTTATCAGCCATGTACACTGGAAATAATCCATCAAAAACACAAAGTCAGCCAGTGCCATAATTATTTAGAAACCTAGCAACTGTTTCTTAGTTGTCTTTAACAGCAAAGGCCCCTGCCAAAGGTCTACCCTGAGGCCCTGGATAGGGAGCCCTCACTTGGCCTCACACATGTAAAAAGAATTTGATAAACCACTGTCCAGGAGCCAGGGACAGGTTCTCCCCCAGTACCATGGATGAGGACAAATCTTCGGGAGGTCTGAGAATTCTAAATTCAGATCTTGCGTCCTCCCCATCATTGTGAAAGTGTGTTTTGTTCAGTCAGAATATATGCCATTTACGTCAGCTTAATTGAGTACTTATAAATAGAGACCCGGTGATATGCAGGCCTCGAGTCCGATTTTTCCTCTGATCTTGCAGAGGTTGGGCTTATCTGAATGTCATCATGGGCCCTTCAGGCCCTGTCTAGTTCTTCAGTCCATCTCCGTTTGCTATAGAGCTATAGCCATGCAGTATGGACAGTGTAGGACCCCTACCCTTCCTATAACACACCCTACAAATCATGACGTGTAACATTATTGCTTTTGTTTCTGCTGTGGTCTCTGATGAAAATGCTATTCAGATCTTACTGGATAACTCATTCACCTCTTTATAAAAAGCTTAAAAATCATTACCTCTAAGAACGTCTCCTGGCTTAACTATTCAATTTTTCCACACTACTCATTGCAACCTTCACTCTTGTCACTATCTTGATATGTTTTATAACTATGTCTATCTCATCTAAAAAAATATATCAAACAAAAACCAAAATGTCATACACCTTTTGAGGCAGCATTTGTATCTTATTCTTCATTATTACATTACTAACATTTAAATACAGGCTGAACTGGAACCATATGGTTAAAACTAAATGTTATTCAATATTTCACTGACCCTATAAAGACTATTACCTTGAAAACACCATTCACTGACCACTAAAGTTAAGAGCTAAGTAATATTTATATAATGAAAAAATTTAGTTAATTGTATGAAAGAATGTTCAGTCTTTGCCAAAGTCAGTTCAGAGTTTTAAATACTCATTTTCTTTCCACAATGCAACATGTATCAAATAATTATGATAGAGATATTTTAATATAAAAATGCTAATAAAACTATGCTTTCACTTTTGCATAAAATATTAGGCTAGGAGTACCTTATTTAACCAAGGTAAAGAGCAATGGTAGTTCCAAATGCAAATAATTCTGTAGAAATTACATAAGATAAATAATCACAAAATCATCTTAAGTAATAAAATGTAAGTTTAGTTGTTTAACTTATAAACACATTTAAAGAAAATGGAAGAAGCTATATTTTAAAAATTTACATGCAATTCTTCATTTAATTTGACTTTTAAAAAATTTAGAAAAAAATGACTATTTTCATGGGGCAACTTGTTTGAAAATGTGGAAAAGAACCCATTTTTAAATGTCACACATTTTTTTTTCTTTTAGGCTTCTGCCATAGGGCACATGTGCTCACTGAAGAGAGACAGAGAGAGAGAAAGTAAAAAATTGTCCCCCGAGGGGTTATGGTCACACTGCAGTTCCCTCTCTTCCATTCTCCTCTTGAGATTTTGGGCACACGCTCACACACATCCAGTGTGATTTTCAAGGCTCCAGGTCCAGGATTCAAGCCACAGTTGGCCATATGGAGTCCAGTACACTGTGCCACCTACTGGCCCCTAATGTTACATCAGTTATATAACATAGCTTTCCTTTAGCTCTCCCTGCACATCAGATCCAAGACATGGCTCTGAGCCAGCCCCAGTTACTATCCTATAAAGGAAGGAAAGAAGATATTAGCACTCTCAATCATCTTTGGCCATAAAGGTATCTGAAACAAAAACGGAAGTTTCCAAGCTGTGCATTAGCATGGACTGAGTGTCTCAACATTAGTCTTTTCTACCCAGATACACTGACCTGGCTTAGAGTCTTTGTCTAGGTGTCATGGCCTAGGCTCTCAAGTCTGGTGGTGCTATATTTCAGTTCTCCTGCTGTGGCTGATGATCTAAAACCCTGTCAACCACCTCTTCCCCTTGAAACCAACAGCCTCCACCTCCCAACACTCTACACATACGAAAACAAGCTACACAAGGAAGAACCTGACTGTGGCAATTCCACATCACTGGATTTTTCCTCATAGTGTCTCCTGGGGAGGGCAGAACCATTTTGTTAGAGTTTGCCAAGTCCTCTGCATTACCCTACCCCATGCATTATGCCTAACTATGGCTTTCCCAGGTCAAACAGTATTTAATCAAGCATAGCTCTTTAGTTTTCAACCCACTAATCCCAGTTTTCTAACTTGACCCAGTGGCCTTTGATCCTGAGGTCCTATTGGGTCACTGGATAAGTCATGATGAATTTTTCTAAGTGTTTCTCTGCAAACATGCATCATGACTTTTCGGATGACCCAATATTTTACCCCATCCATGAGGTTGTGTCCTAGCATTGGTCCATACAAAACCAGAGCAGAGAGACTAAGGGATGTTTATTAAGCAATTTTATGAACTATATTGATAACAGGAAGAGAAAACAAGTTCTTCAAAACATTCAGCAGATACAGCATGCATGCTAGAGAGTTCTCGGACGGAATTACTATGAAAGCAGAAAAACACTGAAGTACATCTGGCTCATAGTTAGGACTATTTACAGTGAGTGACTCAAGGGTATGCTAAAAGCATTTTTATTTTATATATGTGTCTTACCTTCACTTCCACATGCGCCATCAGTACTGCAAAATTGGTTAGGTGGTTACAAGAGCACGTAGTATGTGTCTTATTTGTCGTCAGGAGTCGACAGCCTTGTGTTGACCAATAACCTGTCATTGTGCGCTTGGAATAGCTCCAAAAGGAACAGTTAGGGTTGAAATTCTCCTCCGATTGCTACAGGGAAAAAAGTCAATAAAGCCAATAACTACTTCATGATCGTGTAAATTGGGTAGGCATTTTCTGTGCATTTAAGACAATCTCACACTCTGTTCCAATTTTTGTGGTGGAGCTGGCCACCAATGCTTCCATACTAAGTGGGCTTATCAGTTCTAAGCAAAGTTGAATATATGTTGTTTGATCCCTCTAGTGAGAGGTGAACTCACTATTGCTGTTTATTATTATTATTATTATTAATATGGAAGGAATACTAGTATGGATGTTTCAGAATCATATCAATTCACATTCATTGTAAAGGAATGAAATGCTCTGAACCACTTCTAAGAGGAGGTCTAAATATATCTTTGACTCAAAGACATAATTTCTTGGAATATCATATATGAAACCATGTCTGGTTCCATTTAACATATAGCTAACATTTCGTAAAAAATGAATTATGTTGTGTATATTTAAGGTAGACAACATGATGCTATGGCATATAGTAAAATGGTTACTATAGTGAAACAAACGAATGTATTTTTCCTCTCACATAGTTACCCATTTTTGTTTGCTTGTTTTTGTGGCAAGCCCAGCTAAAATCAACTCATTTAGCATGGATCCTATACACAGTACAATTTTATTAACTATGGTCCCCATCTAACTATGCATTAGATGTCTAGATTTGTTCCAGGTTCCTAATTAGGGAGAAGCATTTATGAACCCATCTATGAATGTTTGTGCTGTTAAGAATTTATATATACAAGAGATATTTTCCCTTCCAAATCTCATTAGCCCTCTAAAAAGTTACTACAACATTTTATAGATAATGAATTGCTAGATGTCAAATAACAGAAAATATATTGGAAGAAAAATAATACGCTTAATACTCATAACAAATATGGGCAATATGGACAACTAAATGTAACATGCCATTTTCTTACCTTGATATGTTTAACAGTAAACACCACAGGATCAGCCAGATAAACCTTGTTACTGAACTCTTTGTTAATTGCTGCTGTGATAACAGGGGAGTTGACAATAACAGAATGATTCGTGGACATGGCTTCTGTTCCCAGCTTCATACTGGCATTCTCCGTGGACAAGTAAGGACCCAAGTTGTTATATAAGACAAAGGCCACTCTGATTTCTCCTAAAATGAATGTAAATATGAATTATAAATTAGAAGACACTGTGGGGATTCGTAGGTGGTACATTGATCAAGGTGCTGGACTACCATATGACCGACCACGGTTTAAGTCCTGGACCCAGTGTCTTGAAAATCATGCCAGGCACAGGTCCAAAAATCTCAGGAGGAGAATACCAAAGCCTTTTCTCCATTCTCCAGTTAAGGTATGTCCAAAATCCTGCTAGGAGAATGGAGAAAAGGCTTTGGTATGGTCAACCTCAATTCCTTGGCAGAAAATATGCTTTTAAAACTTTCAAATTTGGGGACCAGCAGATGACATAATGATTACGCACTGGACTCCCTCATGGCTGACTGTGGTTTGAGTCCCAGACCCAGCAGCTTGAAAGTCATGCCAGGTGCGTTCGTGTATAGACTCAAAATCCCGAGAGAAATTTCATGAAGCTTGAGACACACTCTCTGAAGAGATTATTTATTTCTTGAATTTTAATTCTGTTTTCTGAATTCAATCTAATACTAAGCTATTTTGACCTCTATTTACCAATTCCATTCCCCAAAAGTATCTCCTCAAATTTACATTTTTCTGGGTACTTTGCAAAGGAAATGCATACAGGTACTCTCTAAAAGCAACTGAATATAAGAAAAATGCATGTAATTTAAAAAATACAAGTAAAATTTCCATGAAAAAATTACAAACATAATGTGCAAACTCAAGAGTTACTCTTTTTTCTAGGAAAAACGTCAGATCGTCTGAATTTTAATGTTCATATGTCCATCATATTTAAGTTTCTGACAACTGAAAAGTACCAGAAATATGGCTATATGATTGAAAATTCTGTAGATTAAATATCATTGCAATATGGCTGGTAGAGTAGATATGAACAAGAAGGAAGGAAAGAAGGACAAAGAGGATACAGGAGAGGAGGGAGAGCTCTTAGACAGTGAATCTGAAATTCCCAGTCTAGACAAAGGAATAGAGGGGCCAGTAGGTAGCACAGTGGTCAAAGTGCTGGACTCTCACATGGCCGACCGTAGTTCGAGTTCTGGACCTGGTGGCTTGAAATTCATGCCAGGAGTGTGTGAGTATGTGTGTGTGTGTGTGTGTATGTGTGCATGCCCAAAATCCTGAGAGGAGAATGGAGAAGGGATTGAGGCATGACCATTCCTACGAGGGGGTGATTTCTCATTTTCTTTCTCTCTGCCTCTCTGTGTCTCTAAGGAGCATATATCACTCTATAGCAAAAATCTCTCCTTAAAAAAAAGAAGAAAAAAAGAAGCAATACATTGATGCAAGTTTCATTCCATCAACTTTACAAATCAAACTCTAACCTACCATTTCGGCCATTTTGCTTTAAAGTGTTTGCAGAAAGCTGAATAGTGCTTCCACGGGCCATATTTTCTGGAAATTTTAGGTCCTCTAAGTTGCCTTCTGTGCTCAGCCTTGCGACTTCCAACTCTGTTAATAACAAAGAAGATACCAGTGCTTATGGCAAAACATCCCACAACTATGATAATTTCCTAAACCACTGATAATTGCAATCTCAAAGCGCCGAAACTGTTCTACTCGTCATGCTCTATAGCAGTTTCATAAAAAAAAGTATAACATTAGTATTTTCTTTTAAACATAAAGTAAAAGCCATTAAAATAATGGAAACAATAAAAATGTATCAATAATAAAGCCATTACGATTTAAGATTCAAGTCCAAATCCTTATATTTTGTTATTGACTTTAAGTTCATCATCAAAATAATATGTTCATTCTATGAATTAGGTAAAAATCCTTTTATAATCTAGAGCTGGGCTATCATATCAACATTGATCTATTTTTAAATCTAATACATTTCTTTATGAAGTCTTCTGAAAAAAATGTATTAGTTACATCCTAACTCACAATAAAAATAGTTTTATATTCTTCAGGGGCCAAATACTGCAATTAGGAAGCATTGTTTTATTATCTTCACTCAAATGATTTATTTCTTTATATGGGGTTGTCAGAAAAGTTATGATGCCTTTCAGACAAAAAAAACATGAAAACTACATCATGACTTTTCCAACAACCCAACAGTATATGATTCAAAGATGGTCTTAATTATAACTGAAATGACTCATAAGCCGTGCCTTAAAAGAATAAAACTGTAAATAGCACAATGCATACGTAGACACATAGGTGCCTAAACATTCTAAAAAACATAAACAGCCCTCATTGTAAGTGATCTCTGGCTAACGTAACTAATTTTAGAATGTTTTAAGAAGGGTAAACTACATAATTTTCAACTCTTGTAGTCAATGAGTGGTGACGTCCTTCTCACTTTAGGGAAAAACGTAAGACTTATCTTGTTTGAAATAAAGGATCACTTATATGCAGGACACCAGAGATACTCTTTTTCCTCTTGAGCTATGCAAGGATCTCTGGCCCTTCTGTATACCAAAGGCCACTTACGAATATTGTCTGTGTTCTCCCTGACAATGTCAGTCTTCAAAAGGTTATCAGCCAGCACAAAAGCACTCTCCTCCACCGTGTCAAGCAACATGGTGGCTGCTCGGAGTTGATCGCTCGTAGTCAGGTCTCTCCACGCATTCAAAGCTTGTGGCTGGAGGAGGTTGTTAACTGTCTCGACCATTGCCTACGAGAGGATGAACAGAATGACAGAGGTCTCCAGTGAACCACAGAGCTGTCAGAAATCCAGGTGAACATGTTGCCCAGCAAGCAAGGATCAGCGGTGTGCATGAGTTCAGTATTGTCCCAGCCTCCCCTGTGACATGCTGCAGCCGAGGCAGTCATTATTTGGCTCTGTCAAACCCAAGCTGAGACTTTGCAAGGCAAGACGAAACCTGTTTTTATTTTGAAGGACAACAAATAGAGCCATGCTTGTGTCTTACAATCAATAGCCCTGGCTTTAGTAAGACGCTGATCGCATAATTAAATTATTTGGCTGGGGAACTGTTGACAAGTAATTGAAACCAACGGTTTTACCACATCACCCACAGAAAATAACTGTTTTCTACACATCGCCATAACACTGCATTCTGAGCACAGCAGAGATTTCACGGAGCACTATCAACAAGACAATACAAGAATTTGTTGCCTATAGGTTGAGAACTCACTGAACAAACCAATTTTTTTTTTTTTTTTTGGCCAGCCAGGAAAATGTCAGAATGGGGAAAATATCAAAGCATACATACTCCCAGGGGCTCTGGATATGTTCTATGAGGAGAGAAACCTCCTTCATGCTGTTTGTTACTAGGAAAGGGAATAAACAGCTGGACTTCGCTACCTCAGGCCCTCAGGTATTTTTTTTTCTTTAGAAAAATCAGCAGTGGGTATGCTACATGTAGAGTCAAAGTGCCACATTTCTCATTGCTCGATCCCCCCCCAAAAAGCATTTCTGTAGTTACAATTTATATATTTCCTGTGGTTTGCTTTATGCTGCAGGTTACAAAGCAAAGCAAAAAATAAATAAATAAATAAAGTCATCCTGCTAAGGTTTTGAGTTTCATTCAAACACAGAGAATTGCAAAATAGAAAAATACAACACCTGCAGTTTGAAAGTGAGCATCTCTGAACCTGTGTATTATGAAATATGCATCTAATCCAAAAACGAAGTTGAATAAGAAGCCAACACAGACACAGCTTCTAGGCAGCACTGAGTGTTTTAAAACAGGACTCTGATTATTGACACACTGGCAGAGGGGCTGGGAGAGTTGGGAGAAAGATCCTCAACTGCCGCAGGGTTTTCTTCTGGCTGGAGTGTTCATAGTAACCAAGTAACAACTGTTAAAAATTCAGCCTCATAATGAAACACCTTGGCCGCCAATTAACACCAGCTTTAAAAACTAATTTGTCTTTTGATAAAAGTTGTTTTTCTTGATATTTTCCAAGCTACTCCAAGTTCTGGCTTAAAAACCAACATCGCTGGACTTTTAAGTAAGAGCCTTACTCACAACTTGCACACTGTGCGTCATTAAACACACACACACACACACAAACACACAAGACAAAATTCTCCTGAGGTGGAACACTGGGCATTTTCACATAGCGTGCTTTGCCCTGTAACTTGTTCTGGATTTAAAGCATGACCTCGTAGCCAGACAAAAGTATTTCCGGATCACAACAAAACTATCTGCTTTTGCTTTCCAGGAAGTTCTCTATAATGCCAACAGGAGTAATGCCAACAGGAAATGCCAAAAAAAAGAGGTGCCAGAAGAGAACAAACAAAACAAGTCTAGGTATTTTCTAAAGCCAAAGTGAGAACACAGATCTCTGGAGTGCAAAGAAGTATTCATTCTTCTTAGGATTAGATGCTTTTCTGAATTCCCTGGAAATGCTCCGACAATACAACATGTGAGAATTTACACCTATTCTTTAAAGAAAAGTCATTTAACACTGTGCTAATCATCTTAAAAACTAGTTAATCATTTTACATTGATTAAATCATATCTCAGAGAAGACTGGTGATAACACAATACTTCTGCTCTTCATGTCTTTTATTTTTAGTTAAAAAAAATATAAAATGAGAAAAATAAAGAAAAAGAAACAACTATGGTTATCTCTGAAAATGTTTTAAATAAGAACCTGTCCAAAAACTAAGTCATGAAGAAACAAAGTTTGAATCGCTTGGTAACTAGTATGGAGACTGAATGAGGACTAAAAACCTTCCAACAAACAAAAGCCCAGGGCCAGATGGTTTCACTGATGCATTCTACCAAACATTTCAAAGAAGAATAAACACCAATCCTTCTCAAACTCTTCAAAAAGTCAAATGGGAGGGAACAACTCCAAATACATTTTATGAGGTCAGCAAGATTCTGATACCAGAGTCACCACAAGGCATGATAACTAAGGCCACATCTCTGATGAGCATAGGCACAAAAACCCTCAACAAAAGACTAGCACATTAAAAGGATCATACACCATGACCAAGTACCATTTATCTCTGGGATGCAAGGATAGTTCAACATATAAAAATCAACTAATGTGATACACCACACTTAACAGAATAAAGGATAATATCACATGATTTTCTCAATAGAGGCAGAAAACGTACTTGACAAAATCAGCACCTTCTTAACAATAAAAAGCACTAAAAACAAGGACTAGGAAGAAATTATCTCAACATAATAAAGGCCATATATGAAAAGCTTTTAGCTAGCATTATACTCAACAATTAAAAACCTGAAAGCTTTTCCTCTAAGATCAGGCACAAGGCAAGGATGCCTATTCTTCTACTAAATACAGTACCAGAAGTCTTAGCTAGAGCAAATAGGGGAAAAAAAGAAAAGAAAAAAAAAAAAAGAAAGAAAGAAAGAAAAGGGGAGTAAGCATCCAAATTGGAAATGAAAAAGTAAAATTGTCTGTTTGCAGACAATATGAGTCAATATATAGAAAACCCAAAAGACTCCATAAAAAAAAAGAAAAGAAAAATGTTAGAACTAATAAATCCAAGAACCTAATATCACAGCTTTACCCCCCCAAAAAAAATCCCTTTGAATTGATAGCAAAAGAATCAAAGGCACCGCTTATCTTAGATTTATAACTGAACAGACAATAAGATATAATTATACATCTCCATTATATTTTCCAAACTTTTATCTTCTCAAATAAGAAAGAGTTATTAAAGCCTACATAATATCCAAGTTGATTAAGAAACAACATACTTAAAATGATGCCTTTAAACTTGAGATTGGGTGGATTATGATACAATGTAAGATCTGCTAAGGCTCCTTAAAAAAATACTTGCTCTTGACTGCGTCAGTAGAACTGCAAGAAAATCATGACCCAGGGACTGAGAAACAGTGTTCTGCACTGTCACAACCAGAGTGTGGGATCTGAAACCACATCCATCCACTGATTTTGTACCTGGACTCGTCTTACCAGCTATGTGACATTTGGGCACGTTACTTCATTTCTATGCACCTCATTTATAAATCGAAGAGGACAATATAATCATCCATCTCATAAAATTGCCTGGCTCGTAATAAATGCTCGAGATATCATCTTATTTTTACTTTAATTTGATATCACATTCCAGTGTCCAAAAAAGAGAAATCTTCACTTCATAAGCACAAACCATATCTGATAATTACTAAATAGCCATACTAAATCCTTTCATAGATCTGGAAGGATTCTGCAATGCAGTTGTCATAATTCGACCTCTTACACACTTAACTGCAAATACCTACACTACCTGGAGCTTTGAGAAACAGGAGAATAAAAGTAGCATATATTTTAAATAGTTCATAGTGAGTTTGCTAGAAGCTTAATACATTGGCCCCTTTTTTTTTTTTTTGGAGGGGTTTTTGCTATAGTGCGTGTGCGCTCGCCAGACAGAGAGACAGAAAGCGAGAAATCGCTCCCCAGGGGGGATGGCCACACCGATCCCTTCTCTTCCAGATCTCCTCTCGGGATCTGGGGCACACACGCACATGCGTCTGGCGTGAGTTTAAGCTACCAGGTCCGAGACTCAAGCCACAGTCGACTACATGGGAGTCCAGCAACATAGCCATTATGCTAACTGCTGGTCCCAATACATCAGCCCTTTTTCTGCTAAAGAGATGGCACAATTAAATCCATCTTAGTAGCTTTATAATGAATACAAACTATTTAAGCTTTCTGTAGGTTCCTGACATGTCTCTGTTGCCAGCCGAACCAAGGCCAATTACACAGGCACAACTCCTCAGTGATAGTGAATACTTCTATTTGGTTTTCCTTACATGAGAGGGTCTTCAAAAAGTTAATGAAAATAGATATTATAAAAAAACTATGCATATTTCAAAAATATTATGCACTCAAATTAACTCATACTTTAATTCCACTTTTCCACAACCTTTATAAGGTCCTTTTGTATATTTATAGATTTGTATATTTTATCCATAAATGATGGCATCTGCGCACAAAATAATTTTTTTTCTCAAACTACTTATCTGGATTACTTTCGTTAGTTCAACATCCTCTCTTTACAAGCCAACTGATTTTCATTTTATTTGGTTACAAAGAAATAAGCTAAACGATATTTAGAACCCAAGTCAAATGGTAAATGTACAATGAATTTGTTTACATTTTAGAACTGGTTCTGGGATATCACTTTAGGGTTCAAGGATTCTCACTGATTTCTGCTGTTGTAAATATGTTGCTCACCTGTAATTGATATTCTAAGTTAGGTGAAAGTAAGATTGGTCCTGAATTTATCTTTTAGCTTTTTCTATTCTTATTATAATGTCTCAATTCGGGAGGGGGGGAATCACCTAATGATTTTGAAAAGTGCAGATGAAAACAATCTAAAATTTTGAGAGGTAATATTTAATCAAAAAGTCCTTGCAGAAAGTAAATACTAACTCACTTCATTATCTTTTTAAAAAGAATTATTCATTTCCTTTTATCTATCATTATTAATTTTTAATTGGATCAGAAAGAGACAGAGAGAGAGAGAGGAATATTGAGAAAGCAAGGCCCTAGGTCTGGAATTCATACTGCTGTCAGCCTCGTGGCAGTCCAGCATCTAACCACCACACCACCTGCCAGCCCTTGTTATCTTTTTAAATTAAATAATAATTTATTTAATTTTATTTGTTCATTCATTTATTTTAATTTGATGAGAAAGTGAGAAAACGAGAGAGGGAGAGAGAA